ACATATTATTCATGAAAATACATTTTACTTAAAAATGAGATAGTACGAATAAATAAATATAGAACTTGTTTAATCACAGTTATTATATTCAGTCATTTATAATTTCATTACGGTGTAAAAATATTTTGCAATGTATTGATGTGAATGTATAAATGTAATATTTTTTCTGTTAAATATTTCTAAAATATTCCTCGAATTTTTCAAGTATACTGTTCCTATAAAAAAAAGTTTTAAATATATAGAAATATTTACAAATATTAATTATGTATGCATTATTTTCAGAAACATGAGTGCCAAACCATTCAGAAATAGCAAAGGTGTGAATAAACCTTTTTGTTCTCCATTTAATAACACTCCTCAAAATAACAATAATAAAAGAAATACAAACATTCCAGAATCAAATAGTGATAAAACACCATTGTAAGTATAAAACAGCACTATATTTTTTAAGTTTAAAAATGAAAACGTATCTTTTCATTAGTTCTCATTATCATATTACAAAATAGAAAAGTTTCTGTAGCAAAAAGATTACTTTTCCAACAAACACCTTCTCCAAAAAAGTTATGTTCAAGTGAAGAAAATAGTAATAACCAAGCTAATATTAAACAAAATAATGAATTATATCAAGTTCATTTGGAATCGTTAAAAGAGAGAATACAACTGAAAGAAGAATCTATTAAGAATTTGAAAACTACTCTGTCATATCAGAAAAAGGTAAAGGAAAGTATTAAATATAAATTACATTGTAAGTACTGATTATTTAAATAAAATATTCATAATTAAAGAACAAAGCTGAAGATTTAGAAAATGCTATTAAAAAATGGACCGAATGTTGTCAAAATGCACTTAAGGACTATCAAAATGAGTTGCAAGAAAGAACTGGACAGTCAGTGACCATGTCTGAAATTCTATCTTCATTTAATATAAATCCTGATATAGTGTGTTTCTCTGTTGATAATGACACATTTCAGTAATAAAAACTTATAAAGAGAAAAATATTCCATCCATGTCAATTTAAAATATTTTATTTATAGCCATATTTATGACATATTTACATATCTTAAATAAAGAGTAATTAGTATGAAATGCCTGTAAGTTTTATATTCCACATTTAAGTCCACTTATGTGGCCTAAATGGATAATTAGGATTAAATAATTTTGGATCATCAACAAACTTGGGTTCCTTTGTCATATAACCCATTAACCCTAAAATCAAAAACATGTATAATAAAATACTTTATATAAAAAGTTTAAATGATGTTATTAAAAGAAAACAAATTACCAGCTTGTTGTGCTTTTATTATCTCATGTTCCACCTTCTTCTGCTTATGTTCACATAATCCAGTTATATGTTTTCCATAAATTCTACCTGTATACCGACTTTGAAATTGAGATAATAAACGTACATTTTTATAATCTGGTTCAATGTTTAATTTACATAAAATACATAATCGTCGTTCTCTTTTAAATGGATTTTCGGTTTCAATCGGCTGTAAAGTAAGGCAAAGAAAAGTAGTTCATAATTTGAATGATATTCATTTACAACGTTATATTACCAAGTCCCAGTTTTCTGAATTTGTTGACTCATCATTCGGAGCAACTGCCTCGTTCGTTTTATTACGAAATAGAAATATTGCAATTCTGTTTGGAGTATTTCTTACAGTTCGTACATTAATAAATGCAGAAATCATTTTTGGTTTTAACGAATGTGTTTACGAAAATTGTAAAAACACAACGGTCATTGAGAATGTATTTAAAATAGAAGGAACATCTCAAAGAACGTTTCCAACATTGACTTAAAGTTTTAATGGAAACAAGTAGTTGTATATTAGTTCGTATAATGATTGATAGGAAGCGTCGTTGTGTTCGCAAACTGATTTCTTGCCTATAGAATGATAATCAATGGTCTATGTCGCTAAACGGATTCCGTTAGTGAAGTCTCTGCCACTCTTTTCCTACAAGGCGGAGGCGAGAGTCGTGCCTTTGAAGGTTTTGTAGCCAGTAGTTTAGACTAATATAATTATTACATAGAAATTGTCATCAACTGATGGTGTGTGCAGGTGAAGTGATAGAGCAAGATGTGGCCCTCAGGACTGGACGTAGCCAAAATGAGTTTACTTGGATCACCGTTCATGACAGCCAAATGTCAGGGGCAAAACGAACTTACACAAGCACTCGTTAGAAATCGTCACATTGCCGCTGCCTCTGTCGCATCAGGCGGTTAGTAATCTGAAAGTAACTTTAACATAATATGAGTAATTGCCATTCATTCATAATTTTACGACAAAAAACTGTCCTACATTTAGAATAATTTCTCATTGATATGTATTTGTTAAAAATTGATTTCATTTGATGGTTAAAGAAACTAATCATATTTCTGCGAAATTTGAAGCCAATGAACGTTCTTACATAATCTAAAATATTATTTATATATGTATAATTTATAGATAACAATCGCTTTTGTTAAATTTAGTGCCCGAATTAAGTAACTAATGAAGTTAAAAATTATTAAAGTTCATATTTCTTGCTTAACAAACTCTTTGTTATAACGCATGATAATCTTTTTAATTCAAATATAACAAATTATATAATGAATATAGATTTGGCCGCATGGCGTATCATATCGTTATGCGTTTATATTTTTGTCCCTTTTTTTACATTTCATTATTTTTTTAATTTTACATTTTATTTCACAAATTTATTGTATTTTTGGGGTAATGAAAATAAATTTGGTACAAAATATTACTTTTAACTAATTTAACAAGGAATATTTCGTGTTCGATCGTCATTCATGAAGTTAAGGGTTGCATAAGGAGCAGCCATTTTGTTGAAAATGCGCGTGCGGATGTCGTCCTTGTAGCCTTGGTTGACATTCGAGTAAAAATAATAGTACGATAGTACGGTGGCCGCGACCGAGAAACAATTAAAGGTATCCTAGTGTACTTGAAAAGTTTATTATTGGATTAGACCAACGTAGTAAGATCGTTCATGCGGATTTTGAAATTTTGCCAAATTCAAATTCCGCACCTACTTACAAACAGCTGATCAACAATAGTTTTTATCTTTGATTAAGTGTTTTAATATAACAATAATAATATGTGTTGAGCTGTGAATTACAATTATTTTTTGAAAACTGTTTTTATGAATTATTTTAAAAATCAAAAAGAATATTTTTATAGAAATTAAATTTTATAAATGCATTTTTGCATTGATTAATTATTAATAATCTTATTATTTGCAGTAATGGTTATGTTTTATATAAATAAGCCTTATAGAATTACACACTATATTTAACTTGTTTTAATTATAATAATTTGTATATTATTTTTTTAAAACACAGATAGTTGTGAATTTGCATCAAATAAATATTTTATGCTATGTGGCTTGGGAGGCATACTGTCATGTGGTATTACTCATACCATGGTTACTCCTTTGGACTTGGTGAAATGTCGAATCCAAGTGAATCCTGCAAAGTACAAATCAGTCTTCAATGGATTCAAAGTAAGCAAAAATCTATTTTTGCTAGTAATTGATTATGCATTTACAACACTGGCCTTAATTTTGATTTGTTTTTTTTTTTTTTTTTTTCCACTATTTAGGTCACTATGGCTGAGGATGGAACTCGAGGTTTGGCAAAAGGATGGGCTCCAACATTCTTTGGTTACTCTATTCAAGGAATGTTCAAATTTGGTCTTTATGAAGTTTTCAAAGTATATTATTCAGCTCTTGCTGGAGAAGAAATGGCATATGAATATAGGACATCTTTGTATTTAGTTTCTTCAGCATCTGCAGAATTTTTTGCTGATATTGGACTTGCTCCTTTTGAAGCTTCTAAAGTAATTATGAATTATTTTCACATTTAAGCATATAAGTAGGTCTCTTAACATTTTATTAAAAAAGAGAACAGTTAGATCGATACTGTCCCATATATAAGTTAAAGAAAATAACAGATACTACATTTGTATTATCTGTGTATTTCTGTGACTAGTTCTACACCCAAAACAAGACAGAATTGTTCTTTTGTTTCTCCATATTGTTCCTACTGATCCTCACCCTTGCCTCATCATGTCCAATATCATATATATTGTAAGTTTCTGTAAATAAGTATTGTTAAATTCCTTAAACCATAATACACAAAGCATATTTGTTATTTTTATAGGTCAAAATTCAAACCACACCAGGATTTGCAAACACTTTAAGAGAAGCTATGCCAAAGATAATGTCAGAAGAGGGCATTGGTGGTTTTTACAAAGGGCTGGTACCTTTGTGGCTTCGTCAAATTCCATATACAATGATGAAGTTTGCATGCTTTGAGCGTACACTTGAGCTGTTGTATAAGTATGTAGTTCCTAAACCAAGGCAGGATTGCACGAAGGGAGAACAGCTGGTTGTTACCTTCGCTGCAGGATATATTGCTGGTGTATTCTGTGCAATTGTATCTCATCCTGCTGATTCTGTAAGTATTCTTACATGTTTTTACTTTTATTTTTGTTTGCATGTAATTTTGTAATATAATTATATATTTTGTTAATATAGGTTGTATCAAAATTGAATCAAGCAAAAGGAGCATCAGCTGTTGATGTTCTGAAACAGATGGGTCCTCTTGGAGTATGGAAAGGTCTTGGTCCTCGAATAGTCATGATCGGTACATTGACAGCAGCACAATGGTTCATTTATGATGCTGTGAAAGTTTGGCTTCGCATGCCCCGCCCACCACCACCGGACATGCCAGAATCACTCAAGAAGAAGTATGGAGTAGCTTAAATGTCGAACATCATCAATTTCTAATTGAATCAATTACAGTTAGAGGAAAAAGCATAGATAAATTACATTATTTCCTTACAGTACATTGTCGAACAATGTTTTGCCATACATTTTGAGTATTTATTCTATAATACAGACATCAGTGCAGGTCATCACTGCCTTCGAATTAGAAGTAATGTGCTACATATGTGAATTATAGTAATTTGCTACCAGTTCTGTGATTATAAAAGAGGTAGCACATATATAAAAATTTAACAGTGACAGTGAGTTACCTATTGTAACCATGAACTGTTACTTTGTATATAGGGTGATCACCGTAAATAAATGGTCTGTGATTGCTCAATTAATCCATACTTTTCCTTTTTTTCTTACATACCCGAATTGATAAATTATTAATGCGATTATTTATGGGTTTTATTACAATCTTTTAAATATAGTATACATATTTTGCAATTGTACATAATTTTTATTTTCTTTTTATATAAAGGTGAATATCTATTACAAAAAAATCTAATACAATTTGTGGCATTATCATAAGTTGTACTAGTAATTGTATATACATATACACATACAGTTTTTATGAAATTTATAGATGTTGAACAATAATCAGCTAAATATATTCTAATATACTTCGAATAGCTTTTTTAATTCTAAGTGAAATATGTATTTTTTTTACTTTAACGAGTTTGTGTTTTTATTTTAGCATTTCAATAAACTTGTTTATGATATGTACTTAACATTTCCCGGTCACTAAAACCGTTTGAACTTAAAGTTAATCTTTAATAAAGTTGATTTTCAAACATAAAATGCTAAACATCATGAATTTTATTGTCATGTTTGTACAGTTACAAAAATGTGAATAGCACCATTGATAAACTTAAGACCTACTAGTGAATTGTTAATAAGTACTAATTCCTTATTAACGAAGTCTTGGCATTTGTTCTATGCACAAACATTTGTTTACCTTCCTAAAATATTTAATCATTAAAAATAATTTGCTAAGACCATAAGTACACAGAATGTAAGGGAACGTGATCGAGCAAAGAAATTGAAAAATACTCTTTTCTCATCAAGTTTTATGGAATCAATTTGAATTTGATTTAATACTATATACTTTAACATATAGTATAACTCATAACAGCAGTACATTAAAAATAAAAATATATCAATACGCATTTCATATTGTCAAAATAAGTAAACTACTCATATTATCTGGAATAAAGCTCCTTTTCTAAGTACATTTTGGCATCTTGTATAGTTACAAAAATCTTGAACGTAAGTGTTCCGTGCAAATATAATTCACATTTTTTTATAGTCTCAAAGACAGGACTTGTACAGTTTACGAGATAAAAATATATATCGATTTGCTGAAATTCTTTCATCATGGAATTTAGTGTAATTACACCACTAGAATCAATATAACTTAGTGCGCTCATATCCATTACTATACATCGTATTTCTTGTTTGTCTTCTGAATCTTGTGTGTCTATGTAAATGCCCTTTTCTCTCAATCTAGTGTTATGCTCTATGATTTTTTGTGGATTTATTCCAATTAATTTGTATACTTCTGATTTGAAATGACTAGTGTTTGCAAAATTTAGAGTACCACAATAATGGAAAATTTTTACTCCAGGAATTTCTATCGCCTGAAAATTGTTAAAATATGTTAATTATAGACAACATCTATTTGTTTAAAAAGTATTTTTAGTTGTAAAAAAATAATTTACCGCTTTGAATCTACTTGAATCTAAATATAAATCTGTATTCGGTATATGTCCCAATAAACAGGTATATGGTCTAAGACTTTGTACTAATATAATTGCAAGTGATACTATTATTCCAATTAGTAAACCAATATCAATGTTGACTATCACGACCATTAAAAATGTTACAATCCAAATTATTGCATCATATTTACTTAATTTCCAAAATTTTACAAGTTGATTAGCTTGTTGAAACATTCCTTTGAGGGCTACCTAAAAAGAAATTAATATGAAACTTTGTACATATGTAAATATTTATTAATAATTTTAGAAAGGTTTCTTTTATATATGTTTATACTTACAACAATAATTGATGCAAGAACACATCTTGGTAAGGGTTCAAAAAAGGGACCAATCCATAAAAGAATAGTAAGTAGTATCATACATGATACAATACTAGCTATTTGTGTGCGACCACCAACAGTTTGTTGAATTAAAGATCTACTTAAAGATGCTGATACTGGCATACATGAAAAAAGGGATCCTACTATATTACTCAAACCCTAAAATTATATTTTACAATACATATAGTGTTATTTTACATTTTTACAAGGAAAATATATAAAAAATTTGTTTCTTACCATAGCAAGAAGTTCTTGATTTGAATCGATATTATAATTGAGCTTTTGTGCAAATATTAAAGCCATTGATATGGTTATAGTGTAAGATACCATAGTTATAGCAATACTATCTACTGCTACCAGATGCAACAATTCAAATGTTGGAACTACTGGTGTTGGTAATCTGTTAATTAACTTAATTAAAAAAAATTTCAATATGTTCAAGAAAAATATTTAAAGAAAATGTTTACATACCCTGTAGGTATATCACCTACATCTTGAATGTCATATTTGGCAGGCAAACAGAAAAATTTTGAAATCAATGTTCCACTTACAACTGCAATCAACTCGATTGGAATTGGAACACTGCACTTTTTACTTGCCCATGGCTAATATCAACATACTAATAGTGTAATTATTTATAATTTTTTTAAACAAACATCCTAATATTTAAAAATTACCTTAATAAATTCGTTGTTACATACAAGACCAGCAATTGTTACTGATGAAATAAGCACAGCAGTTAAATTTGCATTCTTTATTTCTTTAAAAATATCTAACATTGTCTGAAACAATTTTAGTAATTAATTCGTATGTCTCTAATTAACTTATTTCTCGGAAACAATGTTTTACTCTATACCTACAAAAATAAGTTTAAAGTATCCTTTTTGTCTTGGTATTTTCAGACCTAGTAGGTCTTTAATCTGAGATACTAAAACATAAACTGCTGCACCAGTTGTAAAACTATTTACTAAAGGTTCGCTGAGCAATGTAGTTATAATACCCAAGTGGAATACATACATTACAATCTAAAAAGAAATAAAGCAATAATTATTATTTGTTATTAAATACAAAATGAATTTACAAAGTACTACCTGAAATATTCCAACCATGAGTGTGACTGTTGTTGCTACTTGTATAGGTGTATATGAATATTCCACAGGATGATTGGAGAATATACTTGTAGCATTGGGATTTGTAATTTCATTGTGTGACATTGAATAAGTTCCCACTGTTTTCCCAGTCATCAAGCAAACCACAGCGAAAGTTCCTGATGAGTGCCAATAATGTTTGATTGTTCTAACTTGTCTAATAAGTTCTTATTAAAAGGAGTTATTTGTAACTTTTCTGTAATAGAAGTAGCATTTTACAATGTGTGTACACATAAAGTGTAAAACACTAAAAGATCTTGATCTTTATGAAATATTCAATGTCTTCCCTACTTCGCTATATTGCTAAAGTTTAATATGAATTCTTTCTTACCCATGGACACATGTTTGGATGTGCCAAAGAAAAAATATACTAAAACAGGAAAAAATGCCATATATATGCCAACCACTGGTGGTACATTTCCCAAAAGTGCATAAGCCATGCCCTGAGGAATGTGCATAATTGCTACTGTTAAACCAGAAATTATATCAGACATTATACTATCTTTCCAATCATATTCTCTTAGCCAATGTATTGATGGGACCGCAGACATAAAACATGATCTCCAGTTTTTATGTTTTAAGCCTCTTACAGCATCTTGAAATACTAAAAAACAATTAATATTATCTATGCGACATTTACACTAGTATTGATAAAATTTTATATATTTTACATACCAAATGTTTTTGGTTTCTCATAATGATAATCTTCATTTAAACTTTCTTGTTCATATATGGGTCTTTCTAAATGTACTTGTAATAAAGCATCATGCTTTTCCATATTGATAGCAATGAGAAGAAACTTATGGACTTTGCTCAAGAGGAAATACTTAATACTTGATTTGTTATCTCTTATTGTCTAATTTTCTGATAAGTATATAAATCTGCAATAAATAATATGTAATGTTCAGGTTTTAACTATATACATACAAAATTTAAATATCATGGAACCAAAGCACAAAACACTACTAAGACTATGATTGAAAAACATATTAAGAAAGTAGTTAAAAAGTTTTCTAATTACATAAATTAAAAATCAATATCTCTATTATATAATACTCTCAAAAAAATTAATTTCTTATATAATTCACTACAATATAATGTGTTTTTTAAAAATATTCATTAATGTTGTTTGAACTTTTAATATTCAAAAGTTATTAAAAAATTGATAGTATTGTTCAAATGTATCATAATGTTTGAGTGTTCTAAGATAATACATTAACCTTAAATTATTTTACAAATATTTTTTTAATATCGATCTAACATTTAATATATTCTGTGTTTACTTACCTGTCTTTTTATTATCTCTATTTAGTATTGTTACTTAATTATAATGAAGATGTTACATTTGTACTTTCGTATATTTACAAAAATTGAACTTTTTCACTTCATTACAAAGCGAACACTGATCTAACTAAACTAATTTTATGAATTACGACACATACATATATACATTATTATCAATAAATAACTCGTCATACTTATCATGTGACAGAAGCAAATGCATATGGTAGGGATAAAGTATGTTAACAACAGTTGGTATACGTATTACTATGTATTTGTAGATTTACAGTATGCGAGAAAAATATTTGTTAATTTGTATCATAACATTTAATTTTCATTCTTTTTACATTTATGTATTTATTTTCACATTCAATTCGACGATTTAACAAAAGAAAAATATTTAAAAACAATATTAATATTAAAACATTAGTTTCACTTACTTCTCACGCTTTAATATAATTTTCATACAAATTCGAATTAAAAAAATTATTTTTACCCGTTTTTAAGCATTGCGAGTAGTTCTTATTGGGAAGTTTGTACGAAAATGTAAATAATAAATTTTGCTTTCTTATTCTTACAATACTTCGTACTTACCAACATTACATGAATATCTAGTATACAATGAAAATGAAGTGTATTTATATATACATATTCTATGTTAAATACATATATGCATGTTATGTTTTTCTACAAGCATATATCTGAATTTTTATAAAGATATGTAGATACATGAACATTTGAAACACTACACTTTTGTATATTTATTAAATTAATAATTGTCTATATAATTATCTATAGCAAAAAATGATACAGAAATATCATTACGATACACGCAGTATTTATCATACTTTTGTTTCTTTTTATTCCGCAAAATTATGATTTTATTGTGATACTTTTCCTGACTGTCGAGTTATAGAACAAAAATGCAAATCAAGCTGCGTCATCATTATTTCCGCTGAGAATACGCGTGTTGTGATAATTGCGTTTTGTCCCGTATCCTCCTGAGTTTTGTGTATCGTACATTTTTCGATTTTCTAGGTAGCGTCGATAATTGTTTTCGCGCTTTCTTCGTTGTTCTTCCGCTTGTTGCCTCAATTTCTCGGGGTTCATGTGTGTCGTTACCATATGCCTCGTCAACGAGCTCATGAATTTATAAGTGATACCACATACATCGCAAGAAAGTATCTCTTCGTTTGCTCCTTGCTGAAATTCATAAATAAAAGAAATATATTAAAATTAAATTACAACTGTAGAAAAAATTTTAAAATTAAGAGTTACTTCTACAATTTTTGGAAGAAGAGTTTCTTGTATAATTTCGTCAATTTCACGTAGTACGTACAAGTTGCAGAAAATATGAGAAATGGCAAGAAGTATATGAAACATTTTATTTTCTTACGAGACTCGAATGATTTAAACATTTAAGATCGTATTGAACATACGTACTTGTTGATGTACCATCATATGTCTCTGCAAATTGTTCAATCGGTTGAACTCTCGACCACAAACCTCACAGTCAAATTTCTTATCAGGATCATGATACTTTTTATGTAGACTCAGTTCAGTTGCATGTAAGAATGACTTATGACATACATCGCATGTGTGGTTCCGCTGATCACCAGCCAAATGCGACTGCTCGTGTTTAACCAGACTAGCTTTTTCTACGAAGCGACGACCACAGTAAATGCACGGAAGAGGTCGAGATTTCGAATTATGAAGCGTTAAGTGACGACGTAGAGCGGTAGATGTTGGAAAGTTTTTATGACACTCGAGGCACTGAAATGGTCGATCACCGGTATGAGTCTTTCTGTGACGAGCTAAAGAATTCTGATCTGGATACCTAGAATGCAAATAAAACGAATGATTATCTTTATGAATATACATACAAGAAAAGTACATAAGAGAAAAATTTGGGTCTTACAAAAAAGTACCTTTTAGGACATAAGTCGCATGGGAAATTTCTAGTTGTAATATCTTCTTCACGGGCGTGTTTCAGTCTGTTGTGTCTAAGTAATTGGAACGATGTTTTAAAGCTTTTGTTACAAATATCACACTTTAAGTTATCCGTTGTTGGTATAATGACTTGTGTTCTTTTCTGTCCATGTTCATCCTCAGATATTATCAGGGATATAGTCACAGTATTGTCTTCGTTATCAAGATCGGTGGTAGATACGATGGAATTCTGAAGAGTAACGGAGATGAAAGTAGGGAAATTTTTATGACTTTGATGTTTTTTATAAATTATTAATCATACCTGCTTATTACTATGAGTAGATTTTAATTCATTATCTGTCACAGAGAAGGATTCTTCTTCCATTTGTCTGACATTTTGTTGAGATTTAGCTTGTAGTTCTTTGCCCTCATAATCATCAGTAGTATCTGCAATAGCATAATGTCCATCTTCAGTTAAGTATACTGGCTGTAAAGCACCAGTATCATCTTTGAAGTATAATTGACCATCTTCATCTTCATGTAAAAATATTTGGTCCTATAATTCGAGATAAATTGAAGATTTACAATATTTGAAAAATTGAGAAAAGCAAAATAGAAAATTAGTTAAAATTTTCAATTTTTAAATTAATACCTGAGAGTTCTCTTTTTCCTGATTTTGATTGGTATCAGAGTTACATGCTTCCCATGTTTGGTCATCATTTTCCATTGTTGCAGTATCATAAGGATACTGTTCATTGTCATCTACAGTTTGTGCAACATATAACGTTTCTATATTCTCTCCTTCATAATAAATTGTTCCTCCAACTGGTATAGTATTTTCGTCGAGTTGCTCCATCTAAAAACAAGAATGTTACTTTTACAAATAAAGGTAATCACAATAAAATAATTTCTCAATACAAACCTTAATATAATGGGCATCTGAAGATTTATCTGCCTGTAGTGTTTTCACAGAACTTTGCTTCTTTGTACCAAGTACAGTGTATAATAGATTATTTTCTACATTCTTTACGATTTCATGATTTATATTATTATCAACATTTTCATCATTATTCACGTTATTTTTAAAGTCGTGACTTGATTTAGATCTTTCAATTTTATCTGAAGGTTCTACATTATCTCTAGATTCTAATCTATTTGTTTGTGAAGTAAAAGAAATTGTTTGATTATTTACAGACTTTTTATCACTACTGAGTATTCTTTGTCCTTGTAAAGATTCTGTACAATCATTCAATATATCAGAATTCTGTTCATACTCTTCTTCTTCTTCTTCTTCTTCCTCTTCTTCTTCCTCCTCCTCCTCCTCTTCTTCTTCTTCTTCTTCTTCTTCTTCTTCGTCCTCTTCTTCTTCTTCTTCCTCCATATCTTCATCTTGCCAGTCTTCATCTACATCATATGTTATAACTTGCTTATTACTACTGTTATGGAATTGATCTTTCTTTTCACTTTCTTTATCAGCTTCTGTTCTGAAATCTGAATTATCTTCATCAAAAGCATAATCTTCAATCTCTGAATTTTTATCAAATTGTTCATTTTGCAGTCTTTCTATGCTTTCTTCATTTACTTCAAGTTTTATAATTTTATTTTCTGTGAAAGTAACATTATCTTGTGATGATTCTTCCTTATCTTCTTCTATTTCTTCTATTATTTCTATAATTTCTTCTATTTCTGTTTCTACAGAATCCTCTGTAGCTTCTGACTCAAGTATAATGTTTTCTTCTGAAATTGCTTGTTTTAGTATTTCCATCACATCTTTATCATTATTAATATCTATCGTATCTAGTATTTCATGTGACAATTCCATAGTAGTGTTGGACTAAATATAAGTATCCAAAAATTGGTGCTTAAACAAAAATTTTTTATCAATTATTTAATTTATTGTAATAATTTAAAAATATAATATTAATTATATTATACAATATTATTTAA